CAAAAGGTCTTTACCTGGCGCCGAAAAACCAGTAACGACGGTGCCAGGCGGACCTCTTTGGGGAGTGAGTGCCATAGGTTGGGCGCCACCGCAGAGAAAGCCCTCCTCCGAGTACTTACTCTCCTAATTTCTTTCATGGAGGGTTCCCGGAGAAGGGACTCTCCCGCAGATCTCAAAGGGCGGTCGGGCATATACGGACGTAAGCGCTCGTTAATTCTTGCTTTCAGACATATTCTACTTCTTCTGTGTTTACATGTGTCTTCTCTCGTATATGTAAAGACCAAGCGATAGACACCACCATCGATCTGGTGTCACCTGCCTTGCGTAGCTGTATCACCTCAGATGCATGTCCCTCCTTGCCATGTTGTGGCTGGTTTGTTGTCCAAATCTCAGACACAGGGAAGAGGCAGCCCTGCAATTCAGTCTAGGGAAAGCCTGTCCATCAAACCCAGCATAGGGGCACAGGAGCTCACTCTGATGAAACCAGTGAGCATAACCATACTTGATGCTGAATGCATCTTCTGCAGGGTTAAGCTGATTCCCTGCCACCACCCCCAGTTTTGTTCCAGTTTGGGTTAGACAAACACTTCTAGGTAATGTTCGAAGTTCAGGAAAAAATAATGTTTTCTTCCTCCCACTTTTTTTTGAGTTTCAGTTTGACTCCCTCCCTGAAGGTGATTGATCAGCTGAGTTTGGTGACCATTTGTTAAACCATTGCTGCAATTACCTGTTTTCAGGGCTAATAAATTTGCATAGAGTAGATTCAAGGTCTTCCAAGTGCAGTCTGGTATTACGTTTCATTAATATATTCATTAATATATATATATATAAAATGCTTAAGGAGTCTTTGATTTTACCTGCTGATGTTCTAGCCAGAAGAAGCCATAGAAGTTTATGAACAGGCGTTGAAGAAGAATCCTAGAGATGGAGCGTTGGCTCGTAAAATTGGGAATGCCCTAGTCAAGACTCACCACTATTCCAAGGTATGTTATGAAGACTTTCTGTCGGCCTTTCCCAACCTGCTGGTTCCCCCCAGATGGCCTGGATCACAACTCCTGTCCTCTCCAACCAGGGTTGCATGTGTTGCTCGAGGATGATTGGAGATGGATATTACATGAGCGGAGCCGGCTGGAGCCAGGGTTCAGACTAGAAGGCCAGAGATGCCCCTATTGACTCACTACGTTTCCATGTCATCCACACTCTGGAGAGCGGCAGGTTGAAGAAAGCTGGTTTCCCGGAATGAATGGCTTGTATTTCACCCATTCACTTCCTAGCGTGCCTGTGGATATGATCACTTTCGTGACACTTCCCGAAAAAGTTAATCTACGCTACCACGCTGCGTGTGAAATACATATGCGTGATTAAAAAAGCACTTCTTTCCTTTTGCCCTTGCAAACCCTAATGGCATTGCACTCCCATTGCTTTGTGGTAGCACAACATCACAAATGGTAGTGCTGCAACGCCATTTGGTTTATTATTATTATTATTATTATTATTATTAATTATTATTATTATTATTATTACTATTATTAGACTCCTGAGGACCCTGGGCTGGAGCAAGATGCCAAATCAGTAGCTTAGGCAGGTGGACATAAAAAAATCAGAACTGAGGGCCTCTGAGCATATGCCAGCCTAGGAGTTGATGATCGGACCAGAAGCAAGCCCATAGGTCCTTGTACACAAAAACCCACTCCTGCTTTCCCTGAACTGTTCTGTTTCAGTAACCTACTTTAGATTAATGCTTTTCAATGGTTGCAATTATTAGACAATTGGGAATCAGAAGCCTTTGCCGATCAATATCAGACCAACCAGAGATCTGCCAATAGATTCTGATCTACCTGCTGTCCACCCCGGTAGAATGTTTATTAAAATCCTTTAACTATTATCGCAACAAATGCTACTTTGGATGTAACAGAAACACACTAATTCTTCGATTAATACTTTTAAACTATTAACCTGTATAAGAGATAGCTATTCATGGAATAGTTAAGGTGTCTTAGCATTTGCAAACATTATTTTCTCTTTGTGAATCAAGTACTTTTTCTTTTTTATCTTCTGTAAGTGCTTTGGCAACATCAAATATAACACTTCAGATAAAGTGGAGGTTTTCTGATTGTTTTTTTAAGGCAATCAATTATTATGAGGCTGCTCTGAAAACTGGACAGCAGAACTTCCTCTGTTATGACCTGGCTGAGCTGTTACTGAAATTAAACCAATATGAAAAAGCAGAAAAAGTCCTCCGGCAAATTTTAGATCATGAACCTGGTATGGATTCATCATATTTGCTCCAATTTGAAAATGATAAACTCACCACGTGTGTTCAGAGGTTGTGACAGAGTACTGGGTAAGGCGGTTTTTGGGTGCCTTCCCCTCCAACTCTGCTGTGTGCCATGCGGGGTGGGGGGTCCCCCCAGCCTTCCTGAGCAGATTTCAGACTGCAGGGGAAGGAGAAATGGTGAAAATCAGTTTTGCCTCTCTCTTAGTTGGCATCAGGAACATTGCTCTTGAAGTGGAACTCCACCCATCGGGTCTTGAGATTTTATTTACGGGAACTTGGGATACATCCCAGTAATAATGTCAGTGTAACAATCTCAGCTTCCATTTCTCTTTCTAAGTCTCCTTCTGCTGCATTTTCTTTCCATGCACAGGATTAAACAAAGACAAATTCAATACCAGTCAATGCTGCCTGAGCAAATGCAAGCCTCAGGCAGCCTGAGTTGTAGGAGACCTAGAATTGCAGACCACTGTATAGAGCTAGAAATGCAGGTTGGATCTGGTCTTTTAAGTTTTGATGACTGTCATAACTGGAAAGGCCTTTTAAAATGGTTTAACAAAAATTTATGTAGACTATTTACTTTTCATTCATTGTTTGTTGAATGTCTCTTTGAGTCTGATTATCATAGGCTGCTATCCTGCCCAGCTTGTACATTTTGAAGAGGAGAAAGAAATCAGACCACTCTTCTATACTGCCCATTAAATCCTCCTTGGCTCCATACTGTTTTGATCCTAAATGATCCAGCTAAACATCGCTGATAAAAAGAAGGCGAGAGAATGCAATGCTTCCATCACCTTCTTTTTGATAAGATCAGATCAAATTAAGTTAATTGCTTTCAGTTGGACTGTAGCATATCTTCCCCTAACACTTGCATGCACGGCCATGTATCAGTGGCCTTGCTTCTTCTCCCGTCCTTGACAACCCACCGCCTCATCCCTGTTGCTCTGTATCACATCGCACCTCTTCCTGTTTTTGCAGGAAACGATTTGTCTGCTCTGATGGAAGATACCCGTTACCAGGTGCTCCTTGCAAAGGCGTACAGCAAAATGGAGAGGACCGAAGATGCTGTTGTTTCATTACAGCAGGTAAAGACATATCAAGTAAGCCAGAGTTCAGGGAACAGACATAATCACGTATCCTTCACCTGCCTACCCTTGCCTCCATTTTCCTCCCCATTTTCTCTTGTCTCTCTGTGTCTTCTTTAAGTCGTTAACCCCAGAGGGTTGTGGCTTCTCTCTCCTGTTCTTCAGAAGGTGCCATGGACATATATGGCACTAGATAAATAATAAAATATTGACACTTCAGCATTTTTGGTGGTAGAAGAGTGACGGCAGTAGAAAAGATAATATTTAAAATGATCAGTTGCACCATTGGCATTGACAGAACGATTAATCTGGTAAGAAGGCTTATGAATTGCGTGCGTGGGGACCCCCCATGCAATCCTGCAAACAACCACTGCCCTCTGTGACCGTAGTCATGGTATCTCTCCATTACAGACCTTTGACTGCCCAGGCCGTCAAGAAAGGTTAGGCAACAGGGAATCACTGTCATTCCGTTTGCCCCCATTAGTCCACCTCAAGAGTTAACTCAGCCTTTCATTACAGACTCCTAGAAGACACTATAGCTGAATGGTAGAGGGCGCTTTGCAGACAAATAGGCCAGGGTGGCATGCTTAGGCCAGCCAGATGTGGGAAGGACTTTGGGTGGAAATCCTGAAGAGATACTGCCAGTCATGGTAGGCCATCTAGTGCCATCCAAATGTTTGGGACTTCAGTGCTCATAAGCCCCAGCAGTATGTTCAATGGTTAGGAATTATGGGGGTTGGAGACTGGATTACCTTCCCTTGGTGTGGACATACGGAGTTAGGCAGACTCCATATTAGAAGCTTCTTACATTGCATAAATCAAGACAAAAAGGACATATTCTACAAGTATCTTGACTCAACAGAAATAAGTCTTCTTAAAATGCACAACTTGGTGCAGGTCCTCTCCCAGCTCCTTCACATACGATTTCCTTGGGTAAAGCATTTTCTTTGCATTTCCCCCACCAGGCTCGAGACTTGCAGACCAAGGTGCTGAAACGGATTCAGCTGGAGCAGCCAGACGCTGTTCCCGGGCAGAAGCGACTGGCAGCTGAGATATGTGCAGAGATAGCAAAGCATTCCGCAGCCCAGCAGAACTATGAGAAAGCAATTAAATTTTACAAGGAAGCGCTTGTTCATTGTGAGACAGACCACAAGGTCAGCTGAGCCCACCGAGATTAACCATTTTCTCCCTGACTGGGCTAAGCCCGGCTGTTGGGATACTTGTCACAGACCTAAACCATGAGCAACTGTTGATGAGGGCACAGACCTCTGTCTTTTAATCCGTAGGTGATGCTGGAACTTGCACGCTTGTACCTCGCACACGATGATGTGGACACCTGCCAGCGTCAGTGCGCCCTCTTGCTGAGGAATGATCCGGACAATGCCACAGCTGCAATGGTGAGTTACACTCCTGCAACATCCCATGCAGGGATGCATCCTGTTAGCACTTCTCTCTACCTTCAAAGGCCCCCAGCAGAAGACATTTGACAAGGAATTTATCCAGTGATTGATTCACTACCCGGAATGGCCATTGAAAACATGGCTAAACCATTGCGGAAAAGGTCTTGCCATGCTTTCTATTTAGCTCATCCGCTGCTTTTTTTCACCTGCAGATGATGGCTGACCTTATGTTCAGGAAGCAGGACTATGAACAAGCAGTCTTTCATTTCCAGCAGCTCTTGGATCGCAACCCTGGTGAGCCTTGGATCTTTTCGTTGCTCTTGCTAGAAAAATCAATGTGCTAAAGAAACATATTAATAAATACAAATCTTAAGCATCCAATATTTTCTTTCCAAAAAAAATATTTCCGTTTTCCTTATAAAGAAGCATCACACAAAAGTGTGCCTGAAAAAATGCAATCTATCCCCTAAACTTAGAAAATAAAGAAATTTTTATAAACTTCCCGCAGGACTTTACTGATGGGTGGCATAATAGTGGCATAAATAAATATATAGAAAGAGGTAAGACAGCCATCTTTCTGAGCATGATTCCGAGACTACATCTCATAAAGAGTGTCTGTGTGTGTGTGTGTGTGTGTGTTATAGAATACATAAACTATTTCCATGCTATATAAAATGAATATGATACAAAATACAGATCAGAGGTGCTCGTGTGGGTATATGAGGGAGGAAGGCTGACCGGCTCCCTCGCCTCTTCTGCTCCAGTGCATCTCCTCCAGGCAGGCCTCTAAAGCACATGAGAAGCCCGTCTCCCCACTTGAGATCTCCTGCCACAAGCAAAGGGCAGTGGGAATGCGACCAAATGGATGGGGCCAGCATGGTGACCCCTCCTTCTCTTCATGCAATGGTGGAATTGTGTGATTTTAACCGTCTATACCAGGGGTCGGCAACCTTTAACACTCAAAGAGCCATTTGGACCCGTTTCCCACACAAAAGAAAACACCGGGAGCTGCAAAACCCTTTTGCCATCTAAAATGAAGATAACACTGCATATATCATTTTTTACCTTAATGCTATGTATATCTTCATTATGATTTAGCTGCAGCTCTTGTTTAGTCACTACATAGTTTACATTATAAACTAGTTTACATTATAAACTAGTAGGACTCCTTTCATATATTTTGAATAGGAGAACAGCTTCCTGAAGAGTCAAAGTCAGTGCTAAAGGGCTGCATGCATTAAACAGCAAACCCCATAAGTTCGTCAGCAGTAAAAGCAAATGAATCTACCCACGTATCATTAAACGTTTGGTTTTCTTCAGGAACTTTTCTTTTCTTCGATTTATCCAAACGCTGTGCCGGCACGGGCCGGGGATCGGCGGCGGCTGTGCCGTGAGCGACGGAGCCGCAGCAGAGGCAGTCAAGAGCCACATGCGGCTCTGGAGCTGTGGGTTGCCAACCCCTGGTCTATACCATGAGTCCTCAAACTACGGCCCGCGGGATGGATCCGGCCTGTCATGCCCTTTCATCCGGCCCACGCCGCTGTCTGCGTGCCGCTTGCTCACTCGGAGATGGTTTTGGACTCATTGGGGACCTCCCAGCGACTTCAAAATCATCTTTGGGTGAGCAAGCCACCACCGCCCGCCTCCCCCATGCATGCGCGCTCGCTAGTTGCTTGCCTGCTCGGAGATGGTTTTGAACGCAAACTTGCTGGGAGATCTCCAAGCAAGCGAGTTGCCGCCACGCGCGCCCAACACCACCTCACGCGCACCCGACGCTGCCTCACCGGCCCGCGCACCCAGGCACCTCCCCTCACCGGCCCGCGCGTGTAGCCGCCGCCTTTCAACTGGCCCCCTATTGAAAAAGTTTGAGGACCCCTGGTCTGCACTGTTGGATTTATTAGCATCCTTGTATGGTTATGTTTGCTGCTGTTGCATGTCTAAAAATTTTTAAAAGCTGCCCAGAATTCTTTAAAGCACAGAATTCTTACATTGACAGATAATTATGCAACACTGTCACGTTTGATTGATCTTTTAAGAAGAGCTGGAAAACTAGAGGAAGTTCCAAGATTCCTTGCAATGGCTGAGAAACATTCTCCCAGGACAAAACTTGATCCAGGTTTCCATTATTGCAAAGGACTGTATCTTTGGTAGGTGTGACTGTTGCTGAGATGGTGCAAGTCAGAATACTTGCCTCATCTTACTTTCCTGAAAGATCAGTTGAGCAAACAGATATGTTGCATTCACTGGACATGTCAGCACCAGAGTTAATGCCTAGTCCCTGCTACTTGGTCTGTGAATCCCAGGTACTGATTTTCTTTGTTCGGCCCCCTACCTGAGCATCCCTGGCCCACAGCCACTCATTCTTCCACAACAGCTTGCTTCTTGGCCCCCTGGACCTTCCAGCTGCCTCTTGTCTCCCTGGCTGAGAAATTTCCCCAGCTTTAGACACTCTCCCTTTTCACGTCCAGCTGTCTGGCTACCTCAGTTCCATTGATCCTCCACCTGTGGCTTGTCCTTCGTTTCTCCTTCCCTCTCCTGGGATCCACATTCTAAGTGTCAGAGAGCACAGCTGTAAAGAGACCTGCTTAGTACATGGTATGTAACACATTTCAACATCCTTTTGGCGCTGGCACTATGCCAGCATGCTCCCTGTGCTGCTGGGCTAATTGCTGCTGGGCTAATACAAACAGGAGAGTGATGTGTATTGTTGGAAGATCAAGGCTATGGGGGGAGCAGTGGTGTGCCTCAGGCCCAGTGCTGATTGGATGTATACAAAGCACAAGACAGCAATACGGTGGTTATAGGAGGGGTTGGCAAACTTGCTAGATCTGTATCTCTCTCTGAGAATCGGTGGTTGGGATAATGTGATCTTGAGTAGTGAAATTGCTGCAAACCTACGAAACATTAGTTGTTTGAAAAAAATGTTGGAATTGACATTGTCCTGTCTTTGTGCAAGAAATGCATGTTGCATTGTTATATCTTCTGGTTTTATGTTGAACTGCTTGATTTGCCAAATAGGGTGCAAAAAAGGCAGCACGGTGTAATGGCTAGAGTATTTGGACTGCATTGTGAGAGATTCAGGTTCTGGTCCTCACTTGGCCATGAAGCTCGTTGGGGCAGTCGTTGGCTCTCAGCCTAACCTACCTCACAGGGTGGTTGTTGTGAGGACAAAATAGAGAGGAGGAAGAGGAGGATGGAAGCCACCTTCGGTTCCTTTCAAGGGGCAAAAAAGTGGACTATAAGGGTAACAGTGATGTCAGTTCTTCCTTTATTGATACACAACTGCGTAACAGTTCTAGTCTGTTCTTGCCACATGTCCTTAGCCTCCATTCCAGGTAGCTGCAACATGCCGGCCTTGCAGCCTTCCGGCTGCCTCCCCACTCCCAGCTGGCACCCTGCCCTAGCCAAAGCGGCGCTTGACTTTCTCATAGCAGCTGCACTGGGCTTCCCCCACATGCCATCCCTTTGCACTCCCAGCCTGCAGCAGGAACGTCTGTGGGGTCACCTGAGGTCAGCCAGCTGCCAAGGGGCAGCCCTCTATACACAGCCTCTTTGTTTTTCCATAGTGGAGGGTTTTGATATAACTAAATACGAGACACGTTTGAAGGCACCATTTTCCCTTTGTTTCAGTTTCCCTTTATGCAAGTTAAGCAGTAAATCTGATTCCCTGTCTAGGTACACCGGTGAACCAAATGATGCCCTTCGACATTTTAACAAAGCACGAAAGGACAATGACTGGGGACAGAACGCCGTTTATAATATGATCGAAATCTGCTTGAACCCTGACAATGAAACAGTGGGAGGCGAAGCATTCGAACACCTGGATGCTGACACAGAGTGAGTGATGAGGAGACTTTTAGGACTCCTGGTATTTTGGTACAGTGTCTTGTTTAAGTGATGTGTGGACGGTGCTCCAAATTATTTTTGGGTCCCACCAGTGAGAGGCAGAGTGCCAAATTCAGGTTCCAGTGCCTTTGGTACACCGTTAGATCGTGGTGTTGATCAGAAAAGTGTGATGTGCGCCGCTTGGCGTGATGAATGCTGTTTTCTCCAAAGGAACCAGTTCTAACTGCAGTGGTTTTTCAGGAACGCCAATGCCTCTGACTTAGCAGGTATATACACAGTGGCCACCACCCAGCACTCTTAAAATAATTTCCATTCTTCCTCTTCTTTTGTTACAATTCTATCCGGAAGACCTTCAAGAGTATGCCTTTGAGCCTGTTTTCCCTCGTTACGCCCACGAAAGCCTGAGTTGACACTCTTTGTGTAAGACCTTGATGCTTTCTCTTGTATGCAGCAGTTCTACAGAAAAGCAAGAATCGGTGCAGCTGGCTGTGCGAACGGCAGAGAAGCTCCTAAAGGAATTGAAGCCTCAGACTGCCCAAGGTCAAGTGCAGCTTCGCATCATGGAAAATTACTGTCTCGTGGCAACCAAACAAAAATCAAATGTTGAGCGAGCACTAAATGCCTTTACAGAAATTGTTGTTAATGAGGTAGGTTATTGAAAATATTCAAGCAGTTGAAACTTCCATGTGTTGGGATATCGTACTTGCAAAGAATTGTATTCCATACATATCAATGTTATTTTATTAAACAAACTATGATTCTTCTCAGAATTCTTAGAACAGAATGATGCGTTAATTCTGAATGTTGGATTGAGTAATACCCAATGATTTTCTGTTCTAGTGGAATGGTAATGGGTGGTAATGGATCAAAATGCAGCCCCTGCAGCCCCTCTAAATCAGGGGTCCTCAAATGTTTTGAACAGGGAGCCAGTTGAAAGGTGGTGGTGGCGGGCACAGGCCAGTAAGGAGGGGGTGCCCGTGGGCACAGGTTGATGAGGCGGCAGTGGGTGCGTGCAGCGAGATGGCAGCTTGCTCGCTCAGAGATCTCCGAGTGAGTCCAAAATGATCTCCGAGCGAGTGAAGCAGCGGTGAATGGGCAACAGGCACAGATGTGGGGAGTCAAAAACCTCTGAGGCGGGCCAGATAAATGGGCATGGTGGGCTGGATCCGGCCCACGGGCCGTAGTTTGAGGACCCATGCTCTAAATCATCTTTGGAGGACTAGGGAAACATCCAGAGCGGATGGAGAGTTTATGTAAGGGGAGGGTCAGAGGAGGAGAGAAAGGAAGCACCAGTGTCACAATTAAACAGATGTGCACATAATGTTGGATTTAGCCCATACACATGTATCCAAAGGCTGCAAAAATGAACTTCTGTGCACGGATCACTTGTACCACACCCCTTGCTGGATATGATGGAGAGGAAGAATTGCTTCACATACAGCCATCCTGTACATGTAAGAGGCTGATGGGAGCAAACCGTAGCCCTCATTCTTGCCTGAGCCTGGAGAACTTGGTTTTCAAAGATCTAGCAAAGCGCATGTGTGCTCATTTCATTACAGGTGGCACCTTCTCTCCTTCGGGGAGCTGGTGGCCCCTGACAGCATGGTTGAATTTACAGGTTTGAATGTACAGGTTTCTACATCTGGCTCTACTTGCTATCAACCATGTACAATACAGGTCTTTTGGGATGGCTGGTTCTTTTACCAAGTTCTGTTCACCTCCTGAATTGTCATGGGCCACTTGTCATATTTCTTCCAGAAGGATCATGTCCCAGCACTTTTGGGAATGGCTACAGCGTACATGATCTTAAAACAAACCCCACGAGCCAGGAACCAGTTGAAGCGGATTTCAAAAATGAACTGGAATTCCATTGATGCGGAAGAGTTTGAAAAAAGTTGGCTTCTTCTTGCTGACATTTACATTCAGTCTTCAAAATATGACATGGCTGGTGAATTATTAAAACGGTGCCTTCGGCACAACAGGGTAAAAATCTCATATCTTTTCTGCTAATGTTTTCCTAGCCCCCAAGTCGTCTTCTCATTAATATGACTAACTGTATGGAAAGCTGGCGAGGTGAGGCTGCCTCACAGATTCCTGACTGCAGCTGTGGGAAGGAATTAGCATAGTCACAGCCTTTGGCTCTTCCACCAAGGACTCTGGCCCTCACTGCTCCCTCTTCTGGCTAGCAGTGAGGGGACTAGTGATGAGCGGTGACCTTCCATTTCCATGCAGTGCCAGGAAAAGGCGCACATTTTAACTTGCTTTTTTTTAATGGACTAACAGAACCGGTACTTTAAAGTTCTGTTGTTGTAGAACTGCTTCTTTTCCCCTCTCCATTCAGTCCTGTTGCAAAGCGTATGAATATATGGGATATATCATGGAGAAGGAACAAGCGTACAAGGATGCAGCTGCAAACTACGAGATGGCCTGGAAATATGGAAACCAAACAAATCCGGCAATAGGTAGGTTCATCCTTAGTGTCTGCTCATCATTTTCCAGAGTGGGGGACATGCTGGCTAAGCAGACAGTCCCTCAGTGATGATGGAACCAGGCAGGAAACTCATTTTGTGTTAAGCCAAACTGTCTGTCCTTCTGATCCAGCACTGGCCACTCAGACAGGCAGCTGTTCTTCAGCATCTCCAGCAAAGGAGATCACATCATCTGATGCTCTAATCCTGCAAAACTGGGCAGCACTGTAGGATTGAGCCTTGGACCTTCTGCATGCAGAGCAAATGCTCTGACACTGGCCAAAGGAAGAGGAGACCTGGGCATGTGCCTGCCAAGAGAGGGCCTGAGGGAGACATTTTTCCAAATCCTGTAGCTTTATTTATTATTTATTATGTATTTATTAAAACTTTTTTATGCCGCCCCATTCGCCGAAGCCTCGGGGCGGCTTTAGCTGCTATTGCATTCAGCTGGGTACTTCTAATGGACAGGGCGCTCTAACAGAATTGAAATTATTTGAATATGCTTGTCTGAGATCAGTTGAGTTTGAGAATGGTGCCTAGGTATATTGGAAGAGAGAGAGACTTTCATCCAGCCAAAGCATTATTATTCCTATACACACTTGTGTATCTATTTCTCAGGAGATGTGCACAGAACGTGCTGTAAGTAATTAATCAGGTCCATTTGAATCAATGCTAATCAAATGATTAAATCTGCATAGATTTGTATATAAATGGATCATTCTGAAGAAGAAAAATCTTCTGTATTTTAATAGAATGTATGGATGGACACCAGTATATCAATTGTGTGAGAAGGAAAATCCCTCTTCCAGAATGGTCCTCATCCCTTGGCTTTATAAGTACTTGTGCATCTACATTTTTTTTTAAAAAATGTGCTATTTAATTAATGGGGGCCATATATTGATTTGATTGTAAGATTTTTATAGACATGGCTAAACTGGCTAAACATTGCAACTATGAGAAGAAACTTAGCTGAAATAAAGGCTATGGAGCTTGATGCATGTTTTTCAGTTCTTGGCAGAAGACTGCCTTTGGCACAATGCCACTTATTAGTGTAGAGATGAGATAGAAGTAGGAAGAGGATGGGGTGACTCCTTACAGAAACAGATAATCCCTTCTTCCCAGTAGCTAGAGAAATCTCAATTTGGGGAGGAATCTGCTGCTTCCGTGAAATTAAAGAGGCTGAAGACTGCATGGGAATGCTTACGTTATGCTGCCAGACAATGTTGGTGTAGGGACTGGGGTCACTCCTCCGATAAAAAAAAGTATTCCAAGGTTGTGGAATCAGACTCTGAGTGAGATGAAGAGGTAGGGCCAGAATCCACAGCTGAAATGCCAACGCAAGTGGACCCAGAGATAATTCAGTTAGTCGCCTAGAATCAGACAGCCTCAAGCTATGTGAGAAAGTTTAGTGAGCAAACTGATATGAAGAGTGGCAGATCTAACATTATTAATCTGAGGGCATTAAGTCAGGTTAAAAGGGTGCACCAGCTGAGAGGCCTCGGATGCTCCAAGTGACTGACCCTTAACCAGAAGGACCCCACCCTGAAGGTATAGTTTGCTCTCTTCAGTTCGGAAAAGATTTTAAGCTAAAGGGAAACCACTTCTGCTTGAGATGAGAAGCAATGCCTCTTTATAATGTAAGCGTTTGTGGGATGGAAGAAGGAGCTCTGCCACACAGTCTCTGAGCTCAGTTCCCTCTCCCTGTAGGCTTCAAGGGTGAGCAAAGCATCTGGAGGGCCATGTATCACATCAGCCATACCCAGCATACTCAGTGGTGTGGAAATAAGGGCCCCTGAAGACGAAAATATCTAGGGGGGCTCAAGTTGCCCTCCTTCTCCTCAGCCTACCCCAACCCTTTGTGAGGGCTGCAGCACCTAAAAGGAGATGAAGCAGGCCCCTCCCCAGCCTCCCACGCACCGTAATTTGGATTTGACCAAGAGGATAAGGTTTCCTGTGTTCACTCCCTGCTCCCAGCCAGCCACCCTCCTCTGATTGGGATTGGACTGGAGAGCACGCTGCATCCCCTTCAGCCCTGGAAGCCATTGTGGGAGCTGTATACCTGCTGCTGGAGTGTAACTATTCTCAGACATGCCTTCACGGGAGGCATTTGGCTTAAGCAGTCCTCCATTTCCTGGAGCCCAGTGTGGGAAGCTCTCGGCTTAGGCACTTCAGCATAGGAGCAACTGAGGCCATTCTGTGCAGCGGAGCCTGGAAAGACCCACTGAGGCTCTCCGCTTGGGCTGTTTGTGCCAGGTGGCCACAAAACCAGCTCCATGCCGCCAGAAGATGTTGGTGAGTGGATCGTGCAGGGGAAAGGCAAAAGAGGGGAAACTTACTGTTCTGTATTTTGCTTGTTCGCTGTACTTCTGTACCACCATTTCAAAGGTCACTAGGGTGGCTTATAAAAATGCAGCAAATGAAAGCTATAATTAAATAAAAACATTGCAGAACTCTCAAAACCATAGCAACAATTTAAAAACCAAGTTAGAAAGAAGTGGGTTAAACCTCCTCCGGGAGGTAGTTGCTGCTCCAAAGGGAAAGTTACGCCCTTGCATTTGGCCTTGACTCATCTTCTCCCTGCTCCATTGGTTTTGGCAAATTCCTGTTAGTTTCCTCATATTGTAAAATTGTGACAGGATCTCCCCCCCGCCCACCTTTTGTGAAAAGAAATACATATGTATGAAACCAGACCTGTTATTTCACCTTTATCTCCTGTCTCTGGAGATGGAGCTCTGTACACTAAGACGGATGTGCTGGTTTTGAGGGAGGCAAGCCCAAGAAGATGGTGGGTAATGAGTTATGTGTATCTCTTCTCATTTTAGCTGATATTGTTTTGACCCTAATTGTAAAAGGTAAGTAGAAGAATAAGTAACTGCACACACGCTATGTCTGTCCTACTTGTAAAATCCTAAGCTGACCTGAAAACACAAAGCTGCTTCTGTATATGAAGGCATGAAAATTTTCTCTTGTGCCAAAAATGTGACATGTTGTTTCTGCAGGTTTCAAATTGGCCTTTAATTACCTGAAAGCCAAGAGACACATTGATGCAATCAATGTTTGCCATAAGGTGAGTTATATAATGATTGAATGATTGTTTTAGATGGTATTTAAGAGTCACAATACACTCTTAAGCAACTAATAAAAAACCCTAGATATTGTATTATTTTATATATTTGGGAGAAGCTGGTTGAATAAATCTCTTTTCCATGATGGAACTGAAATTATATAACCAGACACAACCTCCTGAATATTTATGTTACATGGTGAAATGCTGTTGTAAAATAGCTTTAAATCTATATCAATAGAACTATTTAATAACTTCCAGTTTTAGACTGTGGTATCACTTTTCAGCTGTTTTATTATTATTTTTCCCCTTTCAACAGGTACTAGAAGCACATCCAAATTATCCGAAGATCAGGAAAGAAATACTCGATAAGGCACGCGCATCTATCAGGACTTGAGCTATATTGTATGCATTGATTTCAATTGTGGCGGGGATTACCGAGGGAGGGGAGTAGAGAAGGGGCCAGAAAGAGATCTGTGCGGTTGAAGATGCTCTGTGTTACCAATGAGGAAATGTGGAGAGTAGAGACTATTTTTTAGATGTATCTCTCTTTTGGAAGTTTCAGTAAATACAGAAGATAATTAGTGTCTGCTACTATTTAGCTGCAGGATTGGCTGTGATGCAAAAAAATCAGCACAGTGTAAGGGAACCGTAGACACAATCAGAACTTTTTTTGAGGATCTCTGCACCTCAGAACTCCTCAGAGAAAATGTTCAGCTACACCCACGGTTTCTTCACCCTTGTAGGGGGGATTTATTTGGAGGGATACATAGTGTGTAAACTCAGAATTCTCAAAGAGAGGTGTGGTGCTACCACCGCAATCTGTGTCACTCAGTTTTAGCTACGGGTAGTTCCCCAGTTAGGAACGAGTTCCATTCCCGAGAAAGTCCATAAACTGAATTTGTATGTAAGTCGGATCACATGAGTAAGCCAAAAGTTTGTCTTCATTTTTGTATATATTTTACCTTTCTACACGTATAAAACACTTAAACACTTCTATGTTCACTAAAACATCTTAAAACAAAACTGCAGTGTAATAATGATAATAATACAATAGTAATAATGTAACAACTGGTGCTGTAAAGAGAGAATCTGTATCTGTGTGGCTATACAGTATTGTAAAAAAACCAAAAGACACAGTTCTTAAAACAGTTTAGAAGATTCTTGAGTTAACATGAACCCTAAGATTAACTGATGATGATGCAGATGGACCTGGTGCTGGAGAGTCAGCGTTTGATTCAGGTGGGAGGGTGGATGTTACCACTGCAGTCTAGGGTCCAGGTGCCACAAAATGAAAAGCTGTGAATACTGTAGGAACTACACATCCACTGAGTGATGCATCACCAAACATGTTGCATTCTTTCCTAGAGATAGTTGTGACAATTTGTAGGGAAAAGCTGTGAATATCTTTAGTGATTCTCTATTTCTAGGAAAAAACCATGAAAAAACCATATCAGTAGAGAACTACATGGCCACTGATGATGCATCTCCAAATGTGTTCCATAGTTCCCCAGAGATATTCATGGCTTTTTCAAGAGATAGTCATATAGGCTTTATAGCAGATCACACATTCCTAAGTGTGGGTAGTTCATGACCCAGATGTTCATAACCCAGGGACTACTTATACTATAGTTTGGTGTTTCTCTTTTCTAGAGACCAAGATCAAGCTTAATACATCCTTCTTTTCTCTAGCATTTTATTTTTCTAATGGCTCAGCTTTCAGATTCAGGGAAATGTTGCAAAGGTGGAAGCCACTGAGAACTTTCAGTTCAACACCTTAAATCAGGAGAGGTGCATTGCTAGGTGGGAGATGGTGCCCCCACACACTTTTAGTGTGTTACTTCTCATGCTGTTCTCCCCATTTTTGGTGCTTTTCTGTCATGAAAGCTAGTGTGATGTGGTGGTTACAGTGTTGGACTGGGAATCTAGATTCTAGTCCCCACTCAGCCATGAAGCTTACTGGGTGACTTTGGGTTAGTCACAGACTCTCACCCAAACCTATCTCACAGGGTTGTTGTGAGGACAAGATGGAGCTATGTAAGCTGCCTTGGGTTCCTCACAAAAGGAAAAAAGATGGAATGTAAATGCAGTATGGTAGTGCAAATGAGTTCCTTCTGTCCCTTAGTATTATTTTTTACCCAGAACTTGTCAGATGCAAACAAATTAGCCTATTTGCAGTTTACCTTGTCAATGTCTTTGTTTGTTACCTGTTCTGTTTCACTGCCCCCTTAACAGCTGAGCTATAGAAGGAAATTGACCAGGCAAAACTTCACATTTCAACTGCAACTGTACTCTTGTGCACTTACAACAGAAATAATAAGTACAAACATATCTGCACAATTTTCAGAAACGTCAAAAAGAAAGGTGGTAAACCAATGATAATCACACCATTGGGCCAATCAAATCAAAGTGCCATTTGGGCAATGATGGAAGGGCTGTTACTGGCAGCAGCAGAAACAAGAATGTTCAAAATCAAAGTGGATGGGGACCAGTTGCTGTGCTTGCTGATTTACATCTGTAGCTAGTCTCAGCAACCCATGATAAAATTGCTCTCCCGAGTTTGGTTGCCACAACAACCTAGCAGTGTTCGGATACCTCCTAGAACAAGCCATGATTTGGCTTATTCATGAAGAAAGTGGAAAGTGGTCCAGGTTCACCTAACAATGCAACCTGTTGTGTCTAGTCGCCTACAATGGGTTGTGGTGTCAGGTCAATGTATAACTGTCCCAGTGACTTCGTAAGGTTGTATTTACATGTTCTATTGCATCTTTTTCTTTCCTGTCCTCCTTTCAAGATCTTCAGGGTAGTATTTTAGCCTCGTGACCATTCTGAAAGTGGGTGCAGAGACAGTATTCTTCATTACAGTATGAACTTTAACTGAATGGGAGAATTTAAGCTTCAGTTTCCCACATACAATCATCTTAACTTAAATCACTTGGATAAATTCTGTCCAAGGTCAAATCGTTCCTTGCACCTGGTATTCCATCTATTTATTAAAACATCTGCCAAATGCCTCTGTTATCAATTTGTGTAATTCGTTTTTGGACTGTTGTGTCAAAGAACTGTCCCTGTTTAGTGATAATTGTCTGTGTAACCTTGAATAATTTCCAGGCATCTACCTTGAGAGGCTGCAGTTTTAGCTGTCCATGGAATGCTTGTAATATTACATGTAGCCTTTAGTCCAAAATGTGTGTGTCCCCTGCCAAATGTGCAGGTTTTTTGAAAAGGAAAACAGCTGCCAGTACACAAGCATTTTGTTCTTGCTGCTTCTCTTCCGTGCGTTTTTGTAGGAGGTCTGGGTGGGGTAGCATAAAGAAAAAAGATGGGAAGAAACTGTAAATATAGCGGGACGTACATGGCAACATTCACATGCACTTCAAACAGTGATATGTGCACTAAACAGCTTTTACAGCAGGCATCATTTATTGCAAAATACTTGCGAGGAGGGCTTGTACATAACTGGTTGCTTTTCACTGTGTGTCAGGAGCAAGAAGACCGCTGGTCATGTTACTTTCCTGCTGCCTTAGCATGTGGGAATCCATTTGTGGCTATCTGCAGAATGTGCTAGTTTCAGCATTCGATTCAAGTGAAGCTGGAGCAGCTGGAAATCAGTATGATCTTATATTTGCCATGTGACTGAGTGGACCTGAGAATAGTTCTGCGCTGCAGTTAACCTTCTCATGCCAGCACTGTGCTCCTGTGCTAGAGATGGGAGGTATGAGTTGAGGGTTAACAAAGCAGAATGCAATACTTTCGTTCCCTTGGTGATGGTGCTATTGTTAGGTCCATGTTCCAGTAGCGAACTCCTGGCAGTTTTGAAGCAGCTTTACTGGGGTGGCAGTAAAATGCAGTTCTCTTCCTTGTATTTCCCTAGCGCACTTGCCTATTTGCCTCCAGCACAAAGTCAAGTATTCTCTTCTAGACACAGAAGAAGGGTGAGGAAAGAAATCATACTGCTTTCCATGCTTGTTGTGGAACATTTAGAAGGAGATTGATGTGGCAAAATGACTACTTTTTCAGTTATAAAACCTGAACAAGTTTTCACTAGCTTAGAAGATTGGTTTCTTATGCCATCTGGTGTAAATGCGTAAAGCTGTTAATGTGCGTCTTCTCCAGGTGCGTGTGATCCCTACACAGGGTCTGAGAGCCATTTGTAAAAACGATTTTTTAACCTCGGCAGTAGCACATCTCAGCAGATTTGTCCCAGTGACACACATACACAGTTTCCGTTTCTAAACTGATTGCCTTACTGGGTACACAAGCATAGAAAGGCACATGTAAAACTGTCATATGTGGATTAAGATGTGATCCTGTGCACATTTAGATAGAAAAAGGGCTACAATTTTCAGCATGCTGACTGGGTGTTAGAGGCCTAAGTTTTCTGCCTAAGTTTAGGGGCCAATCCAGTGCTCTGAACTCAGAGGCTTATGAGTTGCAGTATCTGCACCTTGAACCATGAGCTTCATCTAGACAAGTGTTTTCAGAGAACTAGATGAAGCACTGCAGAAGGGGAACAGAGGAGGCTGGAGCCCTGTTCAGATGCAGGGTAAAATTAGCACCCCCTACCTTCTCCCTGACCAGCCCCACACCCCTTTCTTCCCAGGCTATGCTGACTGCTGTCCTCAAAGAGGTAGCCAGTAATCTTTTCTGTGTTGCTTGTTAGGGAGCAGGGTAGAGGCTCCAATTTCTGAGTCTCAGCCCAGAGACTCCAGGACCTTTCCTGCTGCTGCCCCTCACCCAGAGCCAGGGCACCATAGGATTGCCCCTCTGATCCCTCTATGAGTGCTGCCAGGGGATTTCTCAGCTCTTACAACAGCACACTAAGCATATAAGGAACTTAGTATCTAAGCAAATAGAGACTGTACTGCACCGTTCCATACATAGGATCCAGGGGGGAGGGCACTTGCCTATGAAGTGCCTGATGTCTCTTGCACACAGGATGGGTTATGGGGCCTAGAACACCACTGGGGCTGGAGCTAAGCAGATCTGAGTTCTAAGCCTTCTGGAAGAGGGAAGAGAAGGATGACCTTGTGAGTTTTCCAGCAATTAGTTTCAAAACACAGGTGGAGCAAGATGGCTAACCGGTGTGTTTTTGGTCACATCGCCACTTACAGCTATAGGGAGACCTCAGTAAGCACACACACACACACACACGCGGAGGGAGAGAGAGATTCTATTATTTCATGTGTCCCTCTGTAGTCCTTGTTTTCTTCCTCTTCCAGGTCCTTAGTGTGAACCGTTTCTGCCTTCTCAAAATGAAAGCGACCACTGGAAATAAGGAACCACAAGAGAGCTGGGCAGCAATCCTTTTTGTTGGCACTTGAGGGAAGGACTGTACTTACATGGCTAGACTTCCCACCAAAGCTGGAACAAGCGGTTCTGAACTCTTGCAGTCACACAACAGGAAAGCAAGCCCAGATGGGGAAGCTACAATTGGGCCTCCAGAGGCTAAAAGTTTGAAAGATACCTTTCCAGGGATGGCAGTGGATTATCCTGAATCCAAAGCTGGAGTGCCTCGGAACTTCTCTGGCTGTTGCTGGGCAAGGCTTTTTGCTCTTGAGTAACCCATCCTGAACAACAGCAGAAGCAGGTCTCAGGCTACCGGAACCAGGTTTTCTGGGGGAAAATGTTGTTCAAGATACAATCATGAATTGTGCTAATACTATCCCTTTTGAAGACATTTTGAAGCCATCCAGAGATGTTTCGGACAGGTTAGAAATATCCTAATAAATAATAAATACCTACAGAAGTGCTCTTGGCACTTCTACTGTCCACTTTAAGATGTCAGATAAAAATATTATTTAGAATAGCTTTCCCTGGTTGAATTTGCTGCTGGTAAGCTTTTAATGTTTCTGTTTGGTTTTACTGCTTCTGATTTTAGTGTTGTTCTTATTAGATGAATTTCTGAATTGTCCCACAGATTTTGTAATTTTCGTATCGGCTGTCCTGTACATTTAATCAGAAAGGCACATGTTGGAGTCATAAATAAAATGCATGTATACACTCAAATCTATTTTTGTTTCCCATAACTTGGGGGTGATGGTATCCTGCTCTCCAATCATATTAAACTTGATTGTAGTTTCCAGAGGCACTAATGTCATGGTTTCTTCATGACAGCTCTTGTGGCTAACCGCAGGTTCCTTTTTTGGCTGGTACTTCCTCTGATTCATGGATAGAGAACCACAGGCACTGCCGCCACACTCTTTATTTAGTTTTGTTGGTTGTTGCTGCTTTTTAATTTCTTGCAAATCTAGACAGATAAATGGATTGTTTGTCTTCAAGTAAAAAGTAAACTGGCTTGCTGCATCAACTTAGAATGGCCCATTTTTTCTTTACAGATGCTTTTTAAGGTTCTGTTTAACAATGTAATCCTCTATATCACAGAATGGTGGAATAGTAAAGTTGGAAGGGGTCATGAAGGCGATTGAGTCCAACCCCCTGCTATTGCAGGACACCATGTTATACCATCCCACTCATTTGGCTGTCTAGCTTTTTGAATGTCTGTAGTGTGGGAGAGCCCACCACCTCTCTAGGCAGCTCAGCGTACTCAGAGGTAAGTTCCTTTTAATTCAGTTTGCTGAGTAAGATTGCAATCCTTTAGTCTCTTAATGCAGGGTAAGTACCATTGTGTTAGTTGGATTGAGTAGCTATGTACAGGATTGCACTGTGAAGCTCCTTCCTCAGCTGGTGGAACTCTTATTCTGAAGTCCCTCTTGATTTGTAGGGTCATGTTTCTTTATCTAGAACCATAATGGGAACCACAGACATTATAAACAACCAGTGTTTGTTCTGTGTATTGTGTTTTTGTTTTTATTCCAATGGCCATTTTGGGATCCTGTGTCCTGCTTTGTAGCAAATAGCAGATGTTGCAATTCTAAAATGCTAATTCCGTATGATATTTCTCAGTACACAGAATTTTCTGTTTTATCACTGAAAAGAAATTGCTTTGCCTCATTACAACAGGCATTTCCTTTTCATGTACTAATATCTCAGACAGTCATGGATAGACTATGATAATTTAAGTTGGAAGCCATATGTAGGTAGAAAAGACAAGCCTTGGAAACGTCCCAGGTATTGGCTTGCTACTTCAGCCACACTACAGCAAAAAAGTCTAAATTATACTAAAGAAAGATGGGAACAAGCTTGTTTTCAAAGATGTAAAGAAGTCCATTTCCTACAAGAAGAGAGGTTCCTGAACTATATAGTTATCCTACAAATGTAGGTTTACTTATTTCTTCTACTTGTTACCATATTTTTCCGTGTATAAGACGATACTTTTTCTTTAAAATATTTACCTAAAAATGGAGGGGCGTCTTATACACGGGGGGCTGAGAGGAGAACCATGGGTGCACTCTGAGGGGGGGGGGGGAGGATAATGGGCGCGTTCAGGGGGGGCGCGGGGGGGTTGGGGGGGGGAGGGTGGGGGGGGGGGGGAGTGGCGGGCCTATACATGGGGGCGTCTTATAGTGGGAAAAATACAGTAACTCTTCATGTTGTATTAGATTAAAAGTACACTGGATGGGGTGCAAGCTGGCTTGGGTTCCTTGTAAGACAAAACAGGATTAAATGTAAACAACAATGATGAAGTGGTCAAATACAAAGTAAGGGCAAGGCTCCTGCCCCTTTAACAGGAGAGAATTTTTGAGGGTGTGGCTTATGATTTCCCTCTTCTACAGAACAATTTAAAATGCAGGAACCTTGACCTTTTTGCATATGGAACTCTAAATTTATATTGTTAATTCGTTTTATATTTTTAGTGTATTATATTTTAATTGATGTTTTTTGAGCCGCCCCGAGGCTTCGGCGAATGGGGTGGCATAGAAATTATATGAATGTACTAAAGGATGCAGAGGAATAGCAACACAGAATCATCGTTGTCCAGTACTCACAGGTTAATCTCAGCACTAAATTGCTAATTTGCATGGAATTAGTTTACTGGTTGTGATTAATTCAGATCCCAAGAGAAGTTTTAATATTTTATTCTTTCTCCTCTGTTCCACATCACTGGGGTTTAGACTTGTCATTTAAAGCTTTCCTGCCCTTCCGAGTTGACAGTGATGAAAGAATAGCTCTTTCCAGGATGACCCTATTCTTTCTCAGCTTTTTAATGATATTTTTAGCAGCATTTGATATCTTAAGCCTTGTTTCTAATACATGGCCTTTCAGCTGAAAGACTCCCGAGAGAGAGTGGGGTCAGTTCAGTTCTATTAGTGAAAAAGAAGTCCAGTGTTCAGCACGGTGTTGCCTAGCAACTCACCTTCAATGCTGCCTTCGGAGGCAGAGGGAGGGGAGCAAGTCTGCATCTCTGGCTGCCTCATTTGCTTGCACTGGAGATTTAAGTTCCCTGTGGCTATAGCAACATAAAAGTAGTGATGCTATTGGCTCTTTTTAAACACACAGGATGTTCAAAATATTTTCGCAAAAGGCATGCACTGGTCTCCAGTTGTCTTCAAGGAACAGGTTCTTCAGCAAATTAAGTATGTCTATGATCCGAGTAGCAAAAGGAACTAAAACCCCAGTTACCTCTTTCAACCTTTCAAACCTCACTCAAAACTACCTGTTCAGTAACTGAAAAATAAATAGGATCCCTAAAATATCATGCTCTGTTTTCCAAAGGAAACCTGATCAGAATATTTAGCAACTCATCAGCAACTGCAGCACAGTGCATAACTGTTTACAAAATGAAGCCACAAACAGGTTATTTAAAACATATAGTGCTGTCAAATCCATATTATGTCATATGGGTGCTGTCAAATCCATATTAATAGAGAGCTTTGCCAGTGATTTTGGTGAGAGTTGAATGGGAACAAAGCTCAAACTAGCAAGTTCAAGTTCTAGGATAAAGTATTTGCATAAATTGTAATTGTATAGTGACTAACAGTGCAATCCAACACAGAGAGCCAGTGTGGTATAGTGGTTAAGAGCATGGGACTGGGACTCAGAGGATCTGGGTTCTAGTCCCCGCTCGGCCATGGAGCCAACTGGGTGACTTTGGGCCAGTCACAGACTCTCAGTCCAACCTACCTCACAGGGTTGTTGTTGTGGGGATAAGACAGAAGAGAATGATGTAAGCTGCCTTGAGCCCTTTGTAAGAAAAAGGCAGGATACAAATCAGGAAATAAATAAATAAATAAATAAATAAATGTCCATTCAGTTAGAACCAAGTCTGCTGTATTCAGTAGGGCTTCAGGCAAGTGTGTATATAGTTGCAGCCTCAGAATTTAAGCTCTGAACCTGGAAGTCCCTGGTTAGTTAAAAATACTGATGCCAGAAAGAGCTTATCACTTTTCTTTCTTTGGACTGCATGAGGTAATGAAAAAGATCAATGCACATTTTTGCTGAAGTTCTTCAAAGGTTAGGGTGGCCAAATGCAAATGAGGAGAGCCTCCTGCATCTTTAATTGTGCAAGATGATTTTAGCAGGTATAGCTTATTATTTATTAGATTTCTATCCCACTTTTTCCCCACTACTCAAAGCGGCTTACATAATTTTCTTCCTCCTCTCAATCTTATCCTCAGAGCAACAACCTTGTTGAATAGATTGGGCTGAAAGTCTGTGACTGGCACAGTCACCCAGTTGGCTCCGTGACTGAGCAGGAACTACAGTTCAGATTGCCCGAGTCCCAGTCCTGTGCTCTTAACCACTACACCACTCTAGCTTGTCCATGAAAGCTACAGAACCCCTATCTTCATTCACTTCTGGAAACTTTAGCAATGGCAAGAGAGAGGACGGGGAAAGGGGGATAAATCTGTCTACTCTTAAAACTCTCTATATAAAAACTTTCTGTTAAATAAATTACAAATTCTGCTAGGGCCAGGACCCTCTGACACTTGTACCTTCATGAGTGTAGCTGCTGTTTAGAATGGTAAATGTTTTACACACCACTTGTGTACCAAAATACTGATTAAATATGACTTTATTAGGCAAAGAACCCACTGAACAAGAAATACCAAACTTTCAGATATTTTATATTTAAATAATGCATTCCAGACACTGGGTCATCAATAGGGAAAAACATACTGCATTACAATGTACTTTTCAACACTTGAGATTTTCAGTGCTCTGGACAGAGAGGTATAGAGATTGTGGTACCAGTCCAGCTAGGTATGACTAATATCCAATGCATATTTACAAGGAAATAGAATCAAAGAATAGTAGAGTTGGAAGGGGCCATGAAGGCCATTGGGTCCACCCCCTGCTGTTGCAGGACACCACATTACACCATCCCACTCAGATGGCTGTCCAATTTCTTTTTGAATGTCTCTAGTGTGGGACATGCTGAATGAAACTTGTTTGTGAGGAAACAAAAGGACTGCATTGTAATAATTCAAAAGCAATTGGTTTTTTTGTTATTCAAATGATTTCAGTGGGATATATTCTTGGCCAATCTCCAGGCTGGTGCAAGAGAAAGCAAAGCAAAACAGAGAAATGTGTTAGAATATGAAGTTCCATGATAAGCTTTCACTTGATTAGATACTTGTCATGTTTAAGTCAGCCAGTTATGAAATAAATGAAGAAGGTGAGAGAATGTGTACCCAAAGGAAGATTTAAAGTAAAAGCTCTAGCAAATTAAACCTGCTGTAAGCAAAGTCATGAAGGAATTTGAAAGGTAAATTATTTGTATAAGAATCATAGTAAGACAATTCAAAGAGGAAGAAAGCAGAGGTGAAATGGAAATGTTACACAGACATGCAATGAATGAAGATTGGGGTTATTTCATTAGAAGATTGCTTAAGATCTATTCTTAAGCAGTTAAAAATGTAAAGAAATTAAACATACGTGCAACAGCAATGAGACAGAAAATCTAAATAGTGTATACTGCAATATACACCACTACAACCACGATACATGTGGCCATGAGTTCTCTTTTACAGAGAACAATTATCTAGTTATTTGAAGGGCTGTCCTGACCAATTCTAGTTTTAAACTTAAAAAAAAAAAAAAAAAAACAAACCAACCCGTTACCCTTCCACAGTGAACACCCAGGCAACAAACTGAGCAGGCACAAG